CCTGGGGGGGGGGCAGGGCTGGGCTGGCAGGGGCTGCGGGTCGGGAGTGAGGGGCACCGGCAGAGCTGGGGGGGCAGGGCCGGGCTACCAGGGGCTGCAGGCGTGAGGGGTGCCAGCGCCTGGCGTGGCGTTGGGCAGGGAGTCCCACACCGATTTCGCTGGCACAAGCCCGGCTTTCCCTGGCGAAAGGCCCCAAGCCCCCGCAGCCCCTGACACGCGCTGAGCGCCGGCCGAGGGGTGGAACGGCCCGTCTGGGCCTCTCCGGAGCTGCCAGAACCGAGCAGCAAAGGGACCGGGGGCTTTGCCAGGCCAAAGGGAAAGTCACCGGCGGGCAGAGCGCCGGGGGAGCGGCCGCAGCCAGAGAGAAACCAGAACCAGTCCAGCCACCTCAGCTGTAAAAATACAATAGACACACACACACACACACCGACACTGCCCCTGCCACGCACATCTACGCACAGGGGGTGTGTAACAACCGGGTGTATACAGGAGACGGGAGTCGGGAGTCACACGCCCAGCGGGTGTGCACACACCAGGCCGAACACAAGCACACAGGCTGCGTCCGCAGTGCACGTCTGTGTAGGCTGCGTGTAGACATGACAAAGTGGGAATTGTTTGCAGCGTTTTATGAAGCCGCGGGGTGCCTCAGTTTCCCCTACCCCGTACACGGTGCCCAGCGGGTGGCAGCGCCCGGGCGGGGTGGAATGGACAGCACCAGCAGGGAACTGGCTCAAGCCGACCCAGAGCAAGACGGGGGCTGGAGAGACGGTGCCGCTGACCGGGGGTGTGGAGCCAGCAGGGCCAGGCCTGGGGACAAGCGAGTGGGGGCACACACACAGCTTGTCCGCAGTACACGTACACACGGTGTGTACAATTATACACACACCCGGCTTGTCCGCAGTACACGTACACACAGTGTGTACAATTATACCCACACCCGGCTTGTCCGCAGTACACGTACACACGGTGTGTACAATTATACACACACACAGCTTGTCCGCAGTACACGTACACACGGTGTGTACAATTATACACATACCCGGCTTGTCCGCAGTACACGTACACACGGTGTGTACAATTATACACACACCCAGCTTGTCCGCAGTACACGTACACACCGTGTGTACAATTATACACACACACAGCTTGTCCGCAGTACATGTACACACCGTGTGTAGAATTATACACACACCCAGCTTGTCTGCAGAATGCGTACACACCGTGTGTACAATTATACACACACACGGCTTGTCCACAGTACACGTACACACGGTGTGTACAATTATACCCACACCAGGCTTGTCCACAATACGCGTACACACCGTGTGTACAATTATACCCACACCCGGCTTGTCTGCAGAATGCGTACACATTGTGTGTACAATTATACACACACACGGCTTGTCCACAGTACACGTACACACGGTGTGTACAATTATACCCACACCAGGCTTGTCCACAATACGCGTACACACAGTGTGTACAATTATACACACACACGGCTTGTCTGCAGAATGCGTACACACAGTGTGTACAATTATATACACACATGGCTTATCTGCAGTACGTACACACCGTGTGTACAATTATACACACACATGGCTTATCTGCAGTACGCGGACACCTGGTGTGTACAATTCTACACACAGCTTATCTGCAGTACGCGGACACCTGGTGTGTACAATTCTACACATGGCTTATCTGCAGTATGCGGACACATGGTGTGTACAGTCGTACATACACAGCTTGTCTGCAGTACGCGTCCCCATTTTCAAAAAGGGAGCCAGGCCGACTGTGTGGACTTTCGGGGCACTGGGGAGATTCTCGCCAGAGCCGCACTGAATCGCCTGCTCCCTCTTGCGGAGGATGCACTGCCAGAACCCCAGCACAGCTTCAGACCATCCCGAGGCGCCGCTGATGTGACCTCCGCAGCCGGGCAGATCCGGGAGAAATGCCAGGAACACCCCCAGGAGCTGCATACGGCCTTTAGCGATCTGACCAACGCCGTCGACTCTGTCAACCACAAGGCTCTGTGGAAAAGCCTGGCAAAGTTTGGCTGCCCGAGCAAAGGTATCACCACGGTAAGACTCCTCCATGACCAGATGACTGCCTCCACCCTGAGCCCTGCGTCATCCGAACTGGCATGGAACAAGGCTGTGTCCCGGCACCCAGCCTTTTCTCCATTTTCTTAGCTAACCCAAGACCGTCTACCGCACGGCATTGGCGATTGATGGCCACCTCTTCAGCCTTTCTCGTCTCCGGGCCAGAACGAATATCGGCAACAATACCCCAACTCCGGTACGCCGGTGATTGTGCTGTAGTTGTGCACTCAAAGGAGGAGACCTACAAACAGCCCGTAATTGCTTCTGACTCTGAACATCAGCAAAAGAAAAGCTCTCCACCAGCCAGTCCCTGGTCAAGCATCAGACCCAGCAAGGAAGATCTACGCTGACAAAGAGGAAGTGGAAAATGTAGAATTCTTTGCTATCTTGGCAGCCATCTCTCAGAGAGGGCAGAGGGAAATGTCGACACTCAGCACAGGCCGGGCGTTCAACGATCAGAACACACACGAGACTTCTCATGCACAAAGCGGTGGTAACCCCAACGCTCCTCTCCAGCTGTGAGACGTGGGCAACTGGCAGAAAACACCAGCACCAGCACTTCCTTCGGAAGATCCTCCACGTAACGTGGGAGGCTCGTCACACTAATGTCAGTGTCCTCACAGAGGCCAACATCGTCAGTGATTATCCCGCCCCAGCTGAGGCGGAGCGGACCCCGTGTGCGCATGCCTGATGTGCGCTTACCAAAACAACGGCTGTATGCCCAGCTCACCGAAGGAGAAAGGACACGGGGAGGCCAAAAGAAACGCTTCAAAGAGACCTGCAAGATCAACATCAAGAGATGTGGCATCAGCACCACATGCTGGGAGACAGCAGCCCAGGAGAGGGGTAACTGGCCAAGACTTGTCACAGAGGGAATGTCCACTGTTGAGGAAAATCGCCATGCCCTGGTCGCAGAAAAACGCCAGCCAAGAAAGGAAACACAACGGTCACACGGCAATCGCGGGCCAGCCCTGGCTTCCAACACCACCCGCAACATCTGCCACGGATCGGACTCCTCAGTCACCATAGGACCCATGAAAACTAAAACCTGGGAAAGATCATCCTCGCGGGATCGCTGACGAGGACGCGTACACACGGTGTGTACAAATGTACACGCGCATGGCTTGTCCGGAGTACACGCACACACGGTGTGTACAAATGTACACGCGCACGGCTTGTCCAGAGTACGCGCACACACGGTGTGTACAAATGTACACGCGCACGGCTTGTCCGCAGTAAGCGTACACACCGTGTGTACAAATGTACACGCGCACGGCTTGTCCGGAGTACACGCACACATGGTGTGTACAAATGTACACGCGCACGGCTTGTCCGCAGTAAGCGTACACATGGTGTGTACAATTGTACACGCGCACGGCTTGTCCGGAGTACGCGCACACACCGTGTGTACAATTGTACACGTGCACGGCTTGTCTGCAGTATGCATACACACGGTGTGTACAATTACACACACACTGAGCTTATCTGCGGTACGCGTACACACGGTGTATGTAATATCGACACCCCCGGACTGCACCTGCGCTGTATGCATGTGCACGGGGGGCGTGCCCTAGAACGCAGATTGCACACCCAGGGCGTGGCTGCAGCGTCCATGCTCACCCGGTGTGCCGATAACCATAGAATATTAGTGTGGGAAGGGACCTCAGGAGGTATCTAGTCCAACCCCCTGCTCAAAGCAGGACCAATTCCCAACTAAATCATCCCAGCCAGGGCTTTGTCAAGCCGGGCCTTAAAAACCTCCAAGGAAGGAGATTCCACCACCTCCCTAGTAACCCATTCCAGTGCTTCACCACCCTCCCAGTGAAATAGTGTTTCCTAATATCCAACCTAGACCTCCCCCACCGCAACTTGAGACCATTGCTCCTTGTTCTGTCATCTGCCACCACTGAGAACAGCCGAGCTCCATCCTCTTTGGAACCCCCTTTCAGGTAGTTGAAAGCAGCTATCAAATCCCCCCTCATTCTTCTCTTCTGCAGACTAAACAATCCCAGTTCCCTCGGCCTCTCCTCATAACTCATGCGCTCCAGACCCCTAATCATTTTTGTTGCCCTCCGCTGGACTCTTTCCAATTTTTCCACATCCTTCTTGTCGTGTGGGGCCCAAAACTGGACACAGTACGCCAGATGAGGCCTCACCAATGTCGACTAGAGGGGAACGATCACGTCCCAAGATCTGCTGGCAATGCCCCTACTTATACAGCCCAAAATGCCGTTAGCCTTCTTGGCAACAAGGGCACACTGTTGACTCATATCCAGCTTCTCGTCCACTGTAACCCCTAGATCCTTTTCTGCGGAACTGCTGCCTAGCCACTCGGTCCCTAGTCTGTAACAGTGAATGGGATTCTTCCGTCCTAAGTGCAGGACTCTACACTTGCCCTTGTTGAACCTCATCAGATTTCATTTGGCCCAATCCTCCAATTTGTCTAGGTCCCTCTGTATCCTATCCCTACCCTTCAGCGTATCTACCACTCCTCCCAGTTTAGTGTCATCTGCAAACTTGCTGAGAGTGCAATCCACACCATCCTCCAGATCATTAATGAAGATACTGAACAAAACCAGCCCCAGGACCGACCCTTGGGGCACTCCGCTTGATACGGGCTGCCAACTAGACATGGAGCAGTTGATCACTACCCATTTATCCCGACGATCTAACCAGTTTTCTATCCACCTTATAGTCCATTCATCCAGCCCATACTTCTTTAACTTGCCGGCAAGAATACTGTGGGAGACCGTATCAAAAGCTTTGCTAAAGTCAAGGAATAACACATCCACTGCTTTTCCCTCATCCACAGAGCCAGTTATCTCCTCATAGAAGGCAATTAGGTTAGTCAGGCACGACTTCCCCTTGGTGAATCCATGCTGACTGTTCCTGATCACTTTCCTCTCCTCTAAGTGCCTCAGAATTGATTCCTTCTGGACCTGCTCCATGACTTTTCCAGGGACTGAGGTGAGGCTGACTGGCCTGTAGTTCCCCGGATCCTCCTTCTTCCCTTTTTTCAAGATGGGCACTACATTAGCCTTTTTCCACTCATCTGGGACCTCCCCCGATCGCCATGAGTTTTCAAAGATAATGGCTAATGGCTCTGCAATCTCATCCGCCAACTCCTTTAGCACCCTCGGATGCAGCGCATCCGGCCCCATGGACTTGTGCTCGTCCAGGTTTTCTAAATAGTCCCGAACCACTTCTTTCTCCACAGAGGGCTGGTCACCTCCTCCCCATACTGTGCTGCCCAGTGCAGCAATCTGGGAGCTGACCTTGTTCGTGAAGACAGAGGCAAAAAAAGCATTGAGTACATTAGCTTTTTCCACATTCTCTGTCACTAGGTTGCCTCCCTCATTCAGTAAGGTGCCCACACTTTCCTTGATTTTCTTCTTGTTGCTAACATACCTGAAGAAACCCTTCTTGTTACTCTTAACATCTCTTGCTAGCTGCAACTCCAAGTGTGATTTGGCCTTCCTGATTTCACTCCTGCACGCCTGAGCAATATTTTTATACTCCTCCCTGGTCATTTGTCCAATCTTCCACTTCTTGTAAGCTTCTTTTTTGCGTTTAAGTTCAGCAAGGATTTCACTGTGAAGCCAAGCTGGTCACCTGCCATATTTACTGGTCTTTCTACACATCGGGATGGTTTGTTCCTGCAATCTCAATAAGGATTCTTTAAAATACATTTAAAATAATGCCGGGAATGTCACCCCGCAGCCGATCAGTCCGTCGGAGCGCGTCCCTTTACAGCGCACTATGCACTCACGGGCGGGATGTTCACAAGCGTCTCTCGCACGCTGGATCTGCACACGCCATGCGTCTCCGCTACGGAGGCCCAGTGCAGCTCTAAATGCACTGTAAATTCCCATGCACGCAGCGCGTACAGATGGAGCCGGTGCCATCGACACAGGCTGTGCCCAGCGGCCTGGAACCCCCCTGAACTCTGGGGCACCCCAGGGACCCTTCTCCAGCCCCATCGCTCTCTCCCCACTAGGACCCTCCACAAGCCATGGCCCCAGTGATGTCCCTGTGCCCGATGCCGTGCCCTGGCCTGCGCCCGCTGGCAGGGCAGGGCAGGCAGACGGCGGGGGTTCCCGGGGCCGGACGTGCAGTCAGCTGCCCCCCTCACAGCACCCCCAGAGTTCCCAGACACGGAGGCTGCCCTGGAATCTGGCTCTGTTCGGGTCAGCGCTCATGTCCTGCTCACCCTTCGCTCGGACCCCCGGAGCACCACGGTGTGTGTGTGGGGGGGGAACTACGCCTGGCTTTAACACTCGCTTAACACCCCCGTCCCACCACAACCTCCTGCGGTGTACAACACACCCACGGGGCGTGCAACACACGGTCAGAATACAGACACACCCCACACCTGTACCTAATACACAGAGCATGAATCACACCCACAGGGCGTGCAACACACAGTCAGAGTACAGACACACCGCACTCCTGTACCTAACACACACAGCGTGGATCACACCACGGGGCGTGTAACACACAGTCAGGATACAGACACACCGCACTCCTGTACCTAACACACACAGCATGGATCACACTCACGGGGCATGTAACACACTGTCAGAGTACAGACACACCTCACAGCTCTACCTAACACACAGAGTGTGGCTCACACCCCGCCAGGCGCACACCTGCAGGGTATGTAACACATTGTCTATACACATGGTATATATAATATGTTGACACTCTCTCACACGCATGTCACACACACACACAAATATACAGAGTATGTCATATTGTGTCTGTACACACACCGGGTAGGTAATATACTGGTGCTAAACGTACCCCTTCCCCCCCCACACACACAAGGTATAAATGTATACACAAACACGCAGGGTATATAATATTGTCTACATACTCACACACAGGTTTTGCATATAACACACTATCTATACAGCTGTCTGCATGGCAAGCGATATACACCCTGTGTGCATATCTAGGGTCAGCACAACACACTGCCATAAACACGCCCAGAGGATATACAATATACTGTCTCTACACACGCAGGGTAGGCACAGAATATCCTGTCTATACACACATACACACACTGTAACATACCACTGTGTGTGAGTGTAACAGAAGCACACACACTGAACAGCCATACGCTCTCAGTACTTGCCCAAACGCAGGGTGTGTATACAACAGACAGAGACCGTACACAACCCCCCCCCCCACACACACACACACACACAACCACGCCCTATACACACCTCTCGCCCAGGCACACCAAGTTGTTTGGCTGGGAATTTCCTACGGTTTTTCTAACCCCAGCGGGGTGACATCAAGGGCGCGGCCCGGCTGGAAACACCCGCTCAGAGCGGAGAACAAGCGAGCAGAGAGGGATGGGGAATTTCCTCGCCTGGGGCTGGAAGAAAACCTGACGCTGGCGGAGAAGGTGACCAGGCGGGGATGGAGATGGGGGTAAGTGAGGGGAGCTCCGGGGAATGGCGCGAGCAGCTCGCACCGGAAAAGTCTGGCTGGCCACATGGTCCAAATACACAGGACTCCAAATTCCTGAGATGGGGGCTGCCGGCCATGCGGGCGTCTCATCCGCGCGTGGGCCTCTGTCGGGCGCACTGCCAAGCCGCGCCCACGGCCCGCACGGCCAGAAACTTTGGGACGGGAAAGCGAGAGGTGCCTCCGCAAGCCCATGACTCCCGGAGCTGGGGGTTCAAGGGAGTTGAGCCCGCTGCCCCCCGCTAGTCCAGAGACAGGGAGGCCGGGCAGCCCACGCTGTGAGCACGGGATGGGAACCGCACGGGACCACGCGGGGGCCGGAGAGAAACAAAGCAAAGCAGCCCCCCCGGGCTGGGCAGCACCATCGTGCCAGTCCCCGCTCGGGGATAAATACCCCCTCCCCCCGCGGCGCGTTGGGGAGACACACACCCAGCCTGTCTGGTACAACACGGTGTGGCCATCGCACAGACTGTACCACAACCCGCCGGGCCCACGGGGCAGTGCAGCTGTCACACACACACACACACACACACAGCGTGCCCAGCCCGGACACAGCCCCATCCCGCACCCGGGGCAATGAGCTCGGGGCCCCTCAGCCCCCCAAGACACCGGGGGCGAGGGGGGGGGGCTGGGCTCTGTGCCACAGGCCCCCAATCGCCGAGCGGGGGAGGGGGCAGGAGCTGACTCAGGAAGGGGAAGAGATAAAAGGAGGCAGGGGGGGGGGTGGGAGGGGGAGCGAGGGGGG